CTCATTTTTGTCCTTTTAAATATTCTTAAATTATTCTTGAAAATATGAAATTCAGTTGTAAAATTATAAATATGAGTAATTAACTCTTTTGTAATTATCGTATAGAAAATATAAAAGAAGGACAAAAACAGAAGAAATTTTCAATAACTTTATTGAACAACAATTTACTTATTTAAAAACTACGAAAACATGTCCAACAATTACTTAGTATGGAATAGAGGAAGTATTAAGTAGTAATTTAACTTTAAAACATCATTTTACCCTTATGAAATAATTCTTTGCCACAAAATATCTTTTTAAAGTTTTGTCAAATTAAACTACCAAAAAAATTAAAACAAAAGGAGTAATAGATTTATTTAATAAACATGTTTCTTATTAAATATTACAGTTTTAAACATACTATGAAAACTAAAATATTATATTAAAAAGAAAAGATATAATCTTTTTGAAAATAAACTAAAAAAAGTTATGGGGAAAATGACTTTTTGCAACCAAACAAGGCCGTTGTGGAAATGGGAGAAGGCTAGGTTAATTAAGTAGCCGCTAGTAGGCTGGAGCCTATAGCTTCTTTATGGCAGGCACAGCACAGGACAGTCTCCCCAAAAGCCTTCTACTTTTTCATTTTTGGGTATCGTGATTTTGCAGTACTACGTACCCCCACACATGCAAAAATTAACCAATATTTTATATTCCTTCCGTCTCATTTTATATGACATTCTTTGACTTGATACGATATTTAAAATTAAAAAAAATGGTATAAAACAATTCTTGAGTATTTGTGTGGTTGAGATTTATTTCATTAAGGATAAAAGAGAATTTTAAAATTAAAATATTTGTAATTATAGTAGGATGACATTCTTTTTGAAACAATTTAAAAATAAAAGTGTGTCACATAAAATGGGACGAAGGGAGTAGCAAGTATTACTCTTGCTGTCTCAATTTATACGAGTTAAGATAAAAATAGTTCATTTCGATATATAGCATTCACACTGAAGCGCGATTAAGTATGAATTCGCATTTGAAAGTTTCACATAAGACAACTAAATTTGTATTCTCATCGAAAAGCTTCAGATCGGGATAAAAATATTTCCTAACAAAGGTGACTGCATACTCAAAAAGATTCAAATCCGAAATTTTTTATTAAGAATGAAAAGGGACTTACCATTCCAACACAATCAACTTGTTGGTGATGTCTTTTTTTTTTTTCTTTTTGTTAGAAAGGATACATTATAGTATATATGGTTAAACGCTTAACATTATATTACCACTGTTAGCATTAGTGATTACAAGTAAATTATCAAAACGAGCTATTTTATTACATCTAGATTATATCATTAGCTTGAAATTTGTTCTAGACAAAACATGTGATATATTGTTTTCTTGGCGAAAGTTATGACAGACCATCGGATCCCTCAATTTCCTCAAAGTTGACCTGCAAGACATAATAAATAATAATCGGATTATAATTAGGTTCTTCTAAATATTGAAAGATTTTAGTTAAGTTTGTTTCAATTTTTAGCGCGATAGCAAGATTCACCGTATTATAATTAGAAATAATTTGATTTTTATTTTTTTTAATTCTTAATAAAATGATTTACAACCATATAAATTTTTAAAAGTCATTTTAAATTATATATTTTAAAAACTTTATTTTTAAGACATCATGTCAAGTTAAACGACGCCACAAAATAATGCGAAAGTAATAATTTTTTGAGAATCAAGGAGACTCGAACGAAACTACTTCTTCTAGTCTCTAGGGATAACAACAAAAGCTGTGGGTACACATATAATTTATTTTTGAAATTTAAAATCTTTATCTGTTAAAATTCTTCTTTTTCGAAAAAAGATATAAAATAATAAATCATTGAAGTTTGTCTTTGGTACATTGATATATGATAATCTTATACAGCTAGCCGTACAATATATAGATAGATACATATAAAATAAGTTTAATCACTGACACCATGTTATATATTTTCATCAGTAAATTATTATTTATATACCAAAAATGTGATAAAAATATTCACGAGGTCACTTTATATATGGCAAATACATAATGACATAGTAGTATTTATGTGGCGTGCTTTTGTTTCACAGAAAGTGCAAACAAATAAATACATTTATGATTAAATATTTGAATGAACCTTTTTTTCTTAATTTTGCAGCACTCCTTGGTGTCTAATATCCACATTGGAGCGCGATTATTCTGAATTCGCGTCGCGTAAGACCCTATTTAGAGGGAAGCGATCCTTATTAAAAATTTCCTATATCCAATATTCGAACTCGAAACTTTTAATTAAGAAAGAAACCGACCGGTATATTTGAAGGAACTAGTTGGGCAGCTTCAAGACAAAATTATGAAACAGAATCTTTGTTTTGTTTTGCACTTTGATTTTTTGCTGTTTGGGTGTAAAACATAATTCATCTACTGTTATTGTTCAAGATTCTGTCATGCTCAGTAAAATGCATGTGCTATTTTAATAGTAGTTATTTTCTTATTCAAAGATGCCAATGCCAGTGAAATATGACTTGGTTTCTGAACACAAGTTGGGTTATTATTGGTTTATAATTTTACAAATTATTAGTATATTATATGGCCAACTTAATTGATGGTGGATATAATATAAAGTTATGATGTTCACTCATGATGTGTTAGTCTCATGTGATCGATCAACTTCTCTCTTTCATTTTTCTCGGTTTCTAAAAATTTGTATTGAATTTGATTGATTTGAATTGCGCCTGCAAAGGATTCATTAGGAGGAAGGCCTTCTTATCAAAAATATATTTATTAGAAGTGCTTTTACTTTTGAAGAACTATAGTTTGTGTATAGCTAATCAATTTAAAACGCATAATAATAATAATAATAACATTATTAGATCAGTAATTTATATCTAACAAGACTTCCAAAAATAGTTAAGAATAACAACTATTTTTCAACTTTGAAATAATGGAAAATAGAACAGGTTAAAAGAAATTTAGAATAATATATAGACCAAAATAAAGCAGACACATCACACGGCCATAATCCTTCTTGAAAGTTGCAGCGTTTCACCAAATCACTGGTGCACGAATAAGGTTGTTCTTCTCTTAATTAAAAGTCGAATATAAAAAAAATCTTGATAGAAAAAGTTTTTTCCCAAATGGGACTTTTATGCAGCGCAAATCCGTTCTATCAAAACACCAAACGAAAAAACAAAACAAAGCTCACCCTTTTAGGATTTCAGATTGTAACACGTAATTCGTATCCTTGTGTTTACGTTACGTAAATAATTTAATTTTAATTTTAAAATAAAAAGTCTCATACTAATTGATCTGTAAATTTTACTATGACGAGAAAGATTTGGACTGATTTTCCCTTTTCTACATTAAGAACCAATAAATTCGTCATACAAAAATATGTTATCATTTCCTCCAAAAATGATAACCGTACAAATTCAAGTATAACTCATGTGATCATGTCAAGATAGGAGTAAAATCTAGCACATGTAGACACATAAAGTAGACACGTCTTATGTGGCATAATATGTGTAGGACATCATATAAGACATCGCATGATAAAGAACCACATGAGACATGTGTTTACTTATTCCACTTTTTATAAGTTTAAATGTCTACTTATACACACTCAAAATTGAATGGCATAAATACTAATTGAGGTCAAATTAAAGATCACATTTATGTATTATGTCCATTTGAATCAAAATCCATATAGAAAATTTGATACATGATTGAAGCATCAATCTCACAAAACTAAACCTCACACTTGAATCTCACGGTGTTTGTTTTGCAACAAGACTATAGATTTACGTGAGTGAGAAAATTCTTTTCGAAATTGAGCATTATAGAAAACTATAATAATTCACAGCAACTTCTTCATTTCAATTAACATCAAAAACAGCAAATATTGAGCTGATGAAATCTTAAGAATATGATAAAGAATTAGATGATCAACCTTACTGCCACCAATTATACCTTTGGTAGAGTTGGCTAGAGGTTAAAGAGAGAAAAATAACATGAGGATCAAACTCAAGCATCAAATACATACATGTTGCTTAATGCAACTAAAGTCGACCTTCCGTTTGATGGAATGTACTAGAGAATATAATACATGAATTAGTCATGGTATTATTAAATCTTTTCTTTGGTAGGATTTTTCGGTATTATTTAATATTTTTATTGGGAAAAGACGCAAGTATCCCCTACACTATGACCGAAATTCCAGAGACACCTTAACTAAACTAAAATCCTATTACCCCTGAACTCATTTGTTTGTAATTTTATACACCTTTTGGCTTACGAGGCACACTCTGTGACTCCACACAGTTAAGGCGCGTGAGAGATGTTTGAATGTCATGTAAGCTAAAAAGGTGTACAAAATTACAAAAAACGAGTTCAAGGAGATTTCAATCATAGTCTAGGAGGTACTTGTGCCTTGTCCCTATTTTATTTGGTAGGATCTTTAGCCTAGCAAGTCACAGTAATATTAACAATACATGGCCTATACATGGCAAGTCATAGTAGTATCAACAATACACGAGTTATACATGGCAAGTCTAAAGCGCACCCTAACAAAGGTGACTCCGTACCCAAAGGGGCTTGAACCCGAAACCTCTATTTAAGAATAAAGGAGTACTTACAATTCCACCACAACCTTGTTGGTCAATACCATCAAGTTAATTCTTTTATTGGTACCTTCTCCAAACTACCCACTTCTCCCTTGTTCTCATACCCTAGCAATACTCTAGCTCACCACACTTGGTCAAACCAACCATCACAATACTCCTGCATTCCTCTCAAACATGAAATTTTTCTAAATGACCAATGGCAAATCTGAAACTTGTCAACTATATTATTGATAGTGTTGCACTATCTCTCCAGTAAGAAATTCCAATTAAATCAACTCGGGACAAAACCAACTTCCACAAAAGTTGTGAGTGATAGCAGCGAATTATGCAATGCAATTGAAAGTACTACCACGGAAACGATACTACAGAGCAAGAAGCAGAAGGAATGGTCTCACCATTCAATAAGTTAAGCTTTAGAATGACATGAAATACATACCTCAATAAAAGCCTACATCTACGCCTAGTTATAAAGATCCAAATCCAGTGTGTAGGTCAGATTATCCGTTATCAATACTCATTCATCCGCTGCCATGTAGGGTTACCATCTACAACTTTCAACCAAAAAGAAAAAAGCTACTCAAAAACCATAGCACCGAATATGTTCATGTCAGTAATTACATGGAGGAATATACACTTGGCTTTGTCAGTTGTCGCTCAATTAAAGATCAAAATTAGCATATTACATCTTCAAAAATCTACACGACCTACCTGCAACACAAACAGAAATTCAGAGCTCAATGTAAAACAATCTGTAGGAACAACAAACTTGGCAATACGAAACACAAATATTGAAAAAGAATATTATTGAATTATTGTTGTCTACATTATTACAAAAAGATCCTATTTATAAACACTACAATATAATCGGATACTAGTTATTATTCATACTTCTACGACTATTCCTATTTCTATTCTAAGTAGGATGGTATATATCTATTCCTATTTTAACACTCCCTCTCAAGCTTAGTGCATTCAAATCATATGTACCTAGCTCGTTACAAATGTAATTAATACGAGGACTAATGAGGGGTTGCTGAGATATCTACAAGTTGATCACTAGACTTCGCAAAATAAAATTAAACAAGGAAGTCACTGAAAAACTAGTCGAAATATGCTCATACGTCAGAGTAATAGATTTGATGGCTGAAAGTGCTCATATTCTAAAAAATAAAATTATCTGGATAGGGTTGGAATGATGGTACGACCAAACTAGAAAATAGAAATTATATAGGAAAGGTCGGATCGATGGCACGACCATGTTGAAAAAGAGAATTTATATGGGTAGAGTTGGAATGATGGCACAACCCTCCACAAATCAGATTTGAGGAGTCACCAGAAAGACAAGAATAGAACTACGCAAATCAAATATGAAGAGCTACCGAAAAGACACACGATGCTATACAATTCAGATATGATAAAGTAGTTGGAAAAATTCACGATACTACACAAATTAAATAAAAACGTAGTCCAAAGAGATGCACAGTGCTACACAAATTAGATATGAAAAGAAAAAGTAGTCACCGAAAGAATGGCACGGTGCTACACAAATTAAATATGAAAAAGTAGTCGGCAAAAAGATGGCAGTGCTACATAAATTAAATATGAAAAAGTCTATACCAAAAAAATGACACAGTGCTACACAAATACCAATGGATATGGGGCAAACACAAACAGCCCTAGAAAGTCACCGAAAATTGACACACGATGACCTATCTGACTAAGTTGTCTTCCCTTAAATATAGGGTTCATGCATATATCATTGGCCCTACTTTTGTTAACATAATCATTGGCTAGACGGGCGGCATATATGAGTATTAGCCACCCGCCAACAACGGAAGCTCTTTGATCCTCTACCAAAATCGTCGAGGCCTTGATACCATGTGAGAAATATTGGAAAAGAATAATATTGAATTATTGTTGTCTACATTATTACAAAAAAAACCCTATTTATAGACACTACAATATAATCTTTTACCAAGTAGGATACAATTTACTATTCCTATTTCTATGACTATATTTATTCCTATTCTAAGTAGGATTGTATATATATATTCCTATTCTAACAACAACCTGTTAGGGTTTTGCCCTGATTTTCTTATCATAATTTAAGATTATTTTCCTTAAAGAAAAACAAACATTACCATTAAATGTTTTTACTTTTTCTTGAAAGGAAAATATAATATTATTTTATATTTGATTTATTCTCTCCTTTTAGGACTCCTTTTCTAGTAGGAAAGGTTTTAGGACTCTATAAATATAGGTTTGTTTCTTCTAACACAACAACAATATCATCCACAATGTAGTCGTTTAAGACTTTTGTTTATGGAGAGATTTATTCTCTCTAAAGTTTCAATGTTTTTCTTTATATTAGTTTTGATATAATAATATTTTGATTGTTAGCATAAGTTTTTTGTTATCTGATTTATTAACTATATGATTTGCAAATTGTAAGCTTCCGCATGACGCCCTAATCACCCTTCAGAACCCAACAAGTGGTATCAGAGCACATGATTCAATGATCTAATGGTTCAACAAGATTGAAGAAAGGTTCAAGACAACCATGACACTTAAAAGACAAAAAGAGAGTAATCTGCCATGTTCAGAAAAGCACATACCAACAATAGCCTAAATACATATCTCAAACTTTGATTTTATATGGTCACGGCCTTCAATCAGAGACTATTTAATAGCTTCTATCAAATCACTTCATACTAAGACTTTGGGAAGTTGCTTCAAGTTGATTAGTAAAAACTACTATTTGCATAAGGTACAAAGTAACTACTTCAATGCTGGGGTAACGGAAGGAGCCAAGAGAGATTTAGACATTATGACCCAAGTCATCACATGGACCACTAGGAGGGAGGGAAACTAAAGAGCCATGCATGTCGTCAAGAGAGATAACTCATACATTCCAATAAATATGCTATATGAAGTCTACAGATAAGGTATATAATTGGATCACTGCAGAAAATAACACATCTTTGAAGAGCTCTTTCTATATAAACTTTGTATATGGTTCGCTATCATGTTAAATAGCTTATAGATTAAAAGTCGAATAGAAAACTAAACAATTCATACACCATTGACTGCTTCACAAAACCATGTCACTTTTAAAGGAAGGAAAAGTCTAAAGCCAATAGAAATGAACTTACATATCAAGCATCCTTCTACTAGCACCACAGGAGCATCACAGGTACTCGTACTGCCACAGAGTTCAAAACCAGACAAACTACTAATTATGAACAAGACTCCAGTTCCTCAGTGGATTTTGCAGACAACTGAGCTACATCATGGAGAGACTTTGAATCAAGGGACAAAACATGAGCATCCACAGAAACTTCCTTATGGTCATTGATGTTACTTCTCATGACTTCATGAGAAGTTTCTTGACTTGCCAAAGGAGAATTCAAGCAAGAAGAGTTTGAGGTAGATGTTTTATCACAAATATAGCCATTAGAAACAGGTAGATCTAAAGAATCCACAACTTTTTCCATCTGATGGGAGGCTTCGGAAGTAGCTTTTACCGAACCAGTTGAATCACACATCAAAGCAGAAGTCATTTCACTTGAAGCAACTGTTTCCTTTCCTGCAGGAACTTCAAGTGTGTGACATTCATTTCTATTTTGCCAATCTACAGAGGATGTCCCCTGGCAAACCTTGTCAACAGAATCGGAATCATTATTCAGACACTCAACTTCTCCTTTTAGCAGACAACTGACAGCTTCTTTACTATCTTCCATACTGTGAATGGCTTTCTCCTCATGAATTCTTGATATAGGTGCCACGGGAGAAGAAATTAGTGCATTGCCTTCCATCCCACTTCCACAATGTTGATACATCTTCATCCCATGTTGTTCGTCTGTTACATCAGAGGGGATAGTTCCATAACCAGGTTGTGCAGAAGAGCAATTAGCTATCCTTTCAGTTTGATGAGCATCAGGTTCAGAAGCATGAGAAGGAAGACTGTTTCTACATTCGGACGTATCATTCAAGACGCCATCAGCTATATCAAGACTTGATTCAACAGGGAAAGTAGCACTTTTATCATCCTGGTTGAGCTTGACTTCAGAGAAAGCATCAGCATTGGACCCTGAAAAATAGCTTATTACTTTAGTAATTCCAGTCCTCGGGCACATATTGAAGCTGATTTGTTATTTCAACTTAATAAGGCATCATGAGAAGCAAAGAACTTGAAAAGACAGATAGCATTAAACAAGTACAGCATCAATATATATCAGATACCTGTTGAAGTAACTTGGCCTTCACTGGATTGATCCTTCAATAGAGGCTTCTCCAACATATCCGTGCCAGGGAACACTATCATACTCATGTACTTCATTTCCTCTCTCTTTGATTTTTCAAGGGGTTTGAAACCAAAAACCTTCGTCCATGTTTCATTAAGTTCTGGTATAGCAGGTATAACCAGCTTCTCAACACCAAGAGAACAAAGAGCCTGACAAGATTTTCAAGAAGAAAAGACTTCAGGTAGCTGCTTAAGAGCAAAGAAATACTCTTTGGCTCCAGAGCACTAGAATACACATTCAGATTAATCAACTCCACATTTCCATACAAATAGCATACGCTTCCATGCATGATAACACTTGTTACATCTCATGATGTCACAAATATGGCTGCTTCACCTCTTTTTCCTCTACCAAATGACACCAAATCTGTAATTCATAATCCAGATTGTAGTTTGGCCTTGGCGACTAAAACAGAATTTTGAAAACCAGTTGGAAAGATAAGGCACAAGGGAGGAAGAAGAAGAGAGATAAATGATGGTTTCTATGGGTGTGGACATGTGGTACCTTCACTATGTTCGGGGGATCTTAGATTGACTCAACTTTGCAAGAATAGGTCAGAAAGTAGAACCCAGACCCATACACTGGCTAAGAGCACTGTTAATGTTGAGAAGTTCAAATTGTAAATCAATCAATTCGATAGGAAAAGGTTTTGCTGCAAAGACTCATTGGAAGACTTTTGAACAGTAAATAGAGACAGAAAAACAGTTATATGTTCTAATGAATTTTGGATTTCAGAATGTACAGCTGTATTCTAAAACTGGACTTGATTTTAGGCCTAACTCAAATAATAGCTGTAAGCAATTAACAATAATATACGCAAGACTTTTTTTGACACTGGCAATATGTATTCATCAGCATTAAGGGGATGCTGGCCCACCTCCAAAAGTGTGATTACAATATATGCAAGACTTGAAGGGGTCGTTTGGTTGGGAACAACTACAAGTTATCCCAGGATTAGTTATCCCGGGATTAGCTATCCTGGGATAACTTATCCCATCATGTATATAGGATAACTTATCCCATCACTATGATATAAATGGTGGGATAAGTTATCCCAAACATGGCAACCAAACAAGATACAAAATTTTTATCCCATCACTATTTATTTTTATCCCTCACACCAAACGACCCTGAAGGTGAAACAAAACACAGAGAAAAATATTTACTGTAATAAGAAGATTATATAAGTCGAATAAGAAAGACAGCATCATATAACTTTGATAAAAACATCAAAGAGGAGTTACTCTGAAAATCTGCCATCACCTGAGAAGACGAAAGAAATTAAAGAAAAAAATTTTTAATAAAAAATGAAAAAACTTTAAGTTTATACAACTACATGATGGCTTCTCTGAGCCGCGGTAAAAGAGAAGGGTTAATTACATTAACCTCCCCCAAGGTCCGCTCAAATAACAGATATCTCCCATTTAGTTTTCAAGTTTTGCATACATCTCCCCTGTTTTCAGACTTCCATAACAATAGTCTCAGCCAAATGATGGACCTTATGTGTAAACAACTGATTGTTGATCAAACCTGACATCCTAAACATTAAAGATGCAGCCAGGGTTTTAAAAGGCAAGGGCGTGAGGTGAGGTGAGGCGAGGCAATGCATTTTACTTAATACAAAAAGAGATTCAAGCCCCGAGGCATAAGCCTCATAGTTCTTCAAATATTTCAATTTATAAATCAATGAAATGGCACAATGACACAAGAAAATATGAGAAATACATCAAACATTCACGAAAATTGCAAGGAATTAGAAAAGCTCCTAAAAATAAAAAAAATCTAGTATGTTTATACAATTATAAAAATGCAGTTGTAGTAAACTTATCATGAGATACAAATTAACAATATCGTCTTAACTTTCAAACAACCAAAAAAATCACAATTTCTTAAATAATATTATCAGACCGTATGTTTTACCTTTCTAAACCAAAATAATTAAATCTTTATCAGTATAATTTAAAGCTTACTCTTTCAGGAAGAAATATAAAGTAGCTTTCATATAGTAAAATAATAGAAAGTTTGATACTTTTGAGAAAAAGAACAAAGACATGAAAATCAATAGCAAGCTTAGTTGCTTGGACTCGGTGAGGGTGTCCGATAAACGTGCAGATCCTTCAAGATCTATATTTTAAGAATCAGGGGTACCGATATGATTTGAGGCTTCAGCTAAAAATAATTTAAATATCTATAGATAGAGTTATATGTCTAAATTATGAGACATTATGTGGAAAACTTACTAGGTATTCTGAGGAAAAGATATTAATCAAGAGGAGAATTCTAGAAGTTGATATAAGGAAAAGGACGGAATAGAAATTAATATCTACAACGTACTCCATTCTCTTCAATTTCACCTTAGCTTTTGTTTTGATTACAATTATCATTGTATCTGTTCCGAATCCTCCATTGATTTTGGTCAAAGTATCCAATATCAGTTGACCAAATCGGTTACGAATCCCAAACTCATGTCGTGTCGACACATGTGCATCACAGAAACTGAAGAGTCTATGCAACTTAGATTGCAAGTGAATGTATAAAGTTCAACTGTCTATATTCAGAAGAAATTGTCTAGTGGTGTTCACCCTCATAATATTCTCAATCATAAAATAGGCAACATTATCGCCCATTATTTGAGTTATCTAAATCTTCATATTTTCTATAGATGATTAGATCTTTTACTAGTAGTGTGACTTAAGAATTTGAGGGTGCTAATTGGGGAATTTGACACATGATTTGCTTAGAACTATTGAGTGTGTCCTGAGCGTTGAGCATTACGCATGCTTTAGGAGCACAGTCAAGCGCTTGGGGCATAAGCCTCACAGAACTCATACATGTGCCTCAGGGTGTTTTACAAGTGCCCCATCAAGGGGCGAGCCCCGACCAAATCCCAAAAAATCTTTTAGAACACTGGTTGTAACATTTATTCCTAAAACTTACCTGGAATAGGTTTTTAAAGAAGATTACAAATGATCAAATAAATATATGACCTTTTATTTATAGAAATCATTTTTAAAAAACATAAGACTCTACACAACTGTCATCAAATATCTACCTCCAATGGAAAAAAAGAATTGAATAAAAGGCTTTACTAAACAAAAGTCCTTCAAAATTCTCAATCTATTTTAGTATATACTTTGTTTAAAACTCAAAAATATCATACTTCAATACTGTTTTTTGAATAATGAATTGGTAAAGTTTCCAACTTCTTTTCAAGCACATAACATAAGTTCAAGTCAATACATTTAGTATACTTCGTCCATCATAGAAAATAAAGGTGGGTTCTAAATACAGGGGTCGGCATATCAACTCTTTACAATAAGTAGCATGCCACTTTAAAAATGTCAAGAGGCATCAAACTAGCTTATTACATAATCATACCGTTTCAATTGCTGTGAGAAGCCGACTGCACATACGTTGACGACGATACATATATCGGGTTCCAATAAATGGCATCTCAGCAACTTCATTCCCGTGAATCCTACGTAAAGAGTAGAATCATTTGCAGTTGTTATTATCACAATCCTTGAATAGAAGAGAGAGTCAAACTAAAATGATACTAGATACCACTACTACAAATTTCTCCAGAATTCATTTAGCACAAGAGAAGTGACAAAAAAATATTAAGAACATTAAGAGATTGCCACATCATCAAGCATCAATTTAGAGCATGAACGTCGATATTCAAAAGTAGTATGTTACATCCCTTAATGGAATACCTATATCGCATATGCCTAGCTTTTGCTCTAGGCTACAAAGTACGCTAGCCAGTCAACCAGTTCAGCCCGGTATTTTAGATATGAATTTAGATTATTGCCATGCATAGTTCAGCAAGAGTAAAACCTCTTTCTATGTTTGGTAACTCTTTAACTTCAACTTTCCACGTGGCATGTTTAAGACCACAAGATTAAAGGGCATTTTGGTAAATTTTATAGTATAAAAGATACTACTCCATTCTCTTCTAAAGTCTCTTTATTTTCTTAAACTCCATGCCAAGTCAAAACCAAACAAACAAATTAAAACGGAGGAGTAGCTTATAGTATAAAAGATTATGATGTTCTTTCCTGCCTTCCCGAAGGACAAAGATATCACAGCATACAACTAATACTTATGGCCAACTTTTCAATTCGGCTGGGATGGTAACTAAATATCCAATAAAATAAATTAGATAGTTTGGCCTTTGAATAACCTATTAAGTTTTCACCTACATCAATCACAACCTTTACTGATTCTATATTGACTATTCAAGAAGGACGAGAATCGCTCATATTACATCTGTCCATTCAAGTGCCTCCAGAATGCTAACTAAGCAAAAGTAATATGTCAATTAATCACAACAAACCTAGCCAGAAACAAACCAAATATAGTAACCAAGTAATCCGTAGCAAGGATAGCCTAGATCATATTATCACAAAGTATCTTTATTGGAACCGTTCTTCTGGAACAAAGCAGTAGAACTTTTCTGGTATTGATGCAACTATTTTTGGATGTTGAAGGGCTGAGGCTCCCAGTTTCTGCCAATTAATATGCACACATCATTGAGGCATCCCTTTCTGGGCATTGAGCCGTCAAGTTCTGGGACCTAGGATGCTCAGAGCTAGCACTGCAACGCCCAGCTTTTCAGTAATAAATATTGCAGGTTTCAAGTTAACAGATTCAGTTATAATAATTCACTTGATTCTTCAGCTGATGCTAAAAATGCCGCCACAATTCATGTTTGCTTCTTCACTGTTTATGTAGTGGAAAGGACCTCAACCTCCAAGCATGAGGTTAGGGGTTGGAGTCATTATGGGAGTAAACGTGAAACAGAGCCACAGTTGACTCCTAGACAGGGGATTCCACGTGTGGTGCCAAAAAAAAAAAACAATATGCTTTGGTCATGAAGCACTTGGATGCAATACAGAATTAAGATCACTATGAATAGAAAATACTCCAACGAAGACTAAAAAATTTCAACTAGCACTCACCTTATGGATGCAGCACAGATAAGTTCATCACCCTTCTCAAGAATAATAGTATAGAACCCTTTGTAGTTCAGCCGCCTAAAGTTTGACCTGGGATCCAAAGAGGAAAATAAGGATAAATTTCTTAATCAACTTATAAAAGAAAGATAAGTGCCTTAATTATCAACCATGTACACCATCACTGGAATCATTTAGTGTTCAACTGTAGTATTAAAACAAGGACAACTTTTCAGAAAAAATTTAGTATAAAAAAAACAGAATCAAAATTTAGAATTCAATGAAAAGGTAAAGGTAGTATTTTCAGTGGGAAAAACTAAAAAATAATCTCACATCAATACCATCAACATGACCTGATGATTTGAGTTAACAAGAAAAAAGAAAATTAAAAGTTATTAGCTTGAGCAGGGGAATTACTAGTTGTTCTAACGCCATCTGGACAATAGACTCAGTGATCCAAAAATCAACAAACACTTTCCACACTTCATATCGAGAACTAACAGAAGAAACAAACTCTATATGGAATTCATCAAATGGCATTACTTATAAACAAAGCATGACTAGACGGGAACAGAAAAGGTCATAATAGCAACAAATTGGTTATGCCATCGCCTTTAATATAAATTCATGAGAACATATTATCACAATCTTCAGAGATGCTCACCCGCAGCTATAAACAACGCTCTGAATTACATTGATTTTACTTCGCTGGTCAACAATGGGCACAAAACACTCATTCATAATGGAGAAAGCAACAGCTAACTTGCAATTGCATTCAATGTCTACTAGATCGTCAGTCAAATTTGTATCCCTGCCAAAATCACGATGTTGAAGAAGTCTCCAACAAAATCCTTCATCCAAGTCATGCTTTACACCAAGAAGCACCTGCAGGCCCTCAAAAATCTGTTGAACATGTGAGATTATTTCACTGCATAGTGCATAGAAACTCATATGTATATGTATATACAAATTGTATAAATATAGTTTACTCTTAGTCTGAGGAAGAAAGTTAATATACATGCAGGAATACATCAGAGGATTGGAGAGCGATTTGGAAACTTCTCTCTTCTTTTTCAACAGATTTCATTAAGTGCATGTGACAGACAAATGAACTAAATAACCTCTTCAAGGCTGGGAACAATGTGAACTAGAAGTTGCAAAAACTGCAATCTATTTAATTGGACAAGTGCAATACCTTCTGGCATCCCTTTCCGCAAAACGATAGATCTTTGGTATCAAAACCGAGAGCACTGTCACCGGGGACACAAGGCAAATGGACTGCAAAAGCCAAAGCAGATAAATTTGTCTAGTTCATCAAATTCATTTTACAAATTTATAGAAAAAAATAACTAACAAAAGAGGATTCGAAATATACATTTTCCCTCACACAAATGGCATGTTAACAACTCAGATACTGCCATGCCATCCTGAACATCATTCTCCGAGGAGTTTCTGACAACTGTCCCACAGAATTTGCATGAACAATAAACACATCTCCAATCTCCAGAAGGTAACTTCTGCAACACATTCAAAAACAGTAAGACATACTTATGCTCAGCAATTTTAAGAGTAAGGGCCAGTTTGGATTTAGATGGAGACTTATCCCTGCATGTATCTGGTGGACCGTGAGGAAGGAGAGAAATTCCAAGTGCTTTGAGGGCATAGAAAATGATATGCAAAAGATTAAGCTAAATTTTATCTTACTGCTTTGTTTTTGGTGTAATCAGTTCTACTCTAATGACACTATTTCTATCATTGATGTCCTAGATTGATTATAGATACAAATAGGAACATTCTAGAGTTCCAATTGTATATATGGTTTAAGTACTACCTAAGTACTGTTTGGATATAATACACAGTTACTATTCTCTAAAAGAGCCCATCTGGATTGGCTTAGTTTAGGTGCTTTTAAGCTAAAATAGTTTTTAAGCATTTCTGTAGTGTTTTGAGTAAAACAAAAGTGTGTTTTTAAGCACTTGTTTTTAAGCACTTGTTTTTAAGCCAAAATAACAAAAATATTCCCAACTTATGGCTTTTGGCTTATAGTCATAAGCTCATCCAAACATACTCTAAGCTGGGAGAGCACCAGGGATTACAATTTGAAATGACCAACTATTCTTTTAGCCAGCCATCTAATAGGTGGTCCAAGAACCTCCTTTTCCCATTCTTGCAACAAACATCCATGACTTAAGAGTACGGCTGGAACTGAGGCAATACTTTTTCCTTTTGATAAATAATATGAAACCCAGATTGTAGCTGCTGAACAAAAACTCAAGCCATATTTTGAATACCAAAAGTACTATCTTCTTGAACAAACAAAAGAATATGCAATATATTCCCATGAACATACCTAATTCTTTCTACTGCTTACACTTCTATTTTGATCTTTCTTTATATGGTAAGCCTTTCTACACTATCCAAGAGCCAAACAGTGGATTTTCCACTTTGCTCCGTTGCTGTCTCTCTGTTTCCTTTTGAACCTAAATCGAACCTGGAAGAGGTATGGCACTAATCTATACAAAATCTTTACTAGGAAACCAATTAAGAGAGTCTTCCTAACATATATTATCCAAAACTAGATGTATTATAGAAAATGAGCATTGTACTCTTTTCAGGATTAGCAGAAACTAAGACAATACAAAAGAAAGAAAACACAGAACGAAAGGATAGAAGAAGTTGAGTCTTACTTGAATATCTAAGCAGCTCTGGTGGAAAGTTGAGGGGCAACTATCACAACATATCAAGTCACCCCCATCTCCACAAATGTTGCATGTATCATCATTGGGGTCATCACCAACAATATCCACGGAATGAAATGCAATAGGATCAATTTCTTTCTGCTTATTCCATGAGTCTACTAGACATTGCAGAAGAGACTGTCCTGACTGCAGAATCACATTCTGAAATGGCCTGCCCAGCTTACTTCCAGCATGAGATTCAAAATCAGCAAGCTTCAGTGTCTCACCACAACAGCCACAACAAATTCCATCCCCCTTGATCTTTCCTTCATGCCTCACTTTTTTCCTTCCACCATAAACGTAGTGCACCTGAGCATCACATTGAATAACCCCTAAATCAATCATCCACGCTAAAAGAGTGCGCTTCCCATCATACAGTATAAACTCATCACCATCTGAATCAACCCCTCCCTGAGAGCTACGAGCCAATAGAGCACAGGGCTTTCTGCGTTGTCCATCTTCTGTATTTGGTCCCAACTTTTTCCTCCGTACTGCCACATTTGAGTTGTATCCTGTTTTGGAGCCAACACTTCCTTTATTATCTGAGTTGTTTTTGGCAGATAGCTTCTTGGATAACTTCTTGTTGGTCATTTTCTTGCTCATTTTACTTCCAGCATCATTTTTCTTCTTTTTTCCCTTGATCTCTTTTTCTTTCCTAACTCTGAACAATGTGCTGAATACCTCCTCCGGAATAGGAGTAAACGCAGAATTGGTCTTATCATCAGCATCCCCAGCTTCAACTTTCTGTTTGAGCTTCTTGTATGCCAAAGTGACTGACCAATGTTGCCTTCCTTCAGGATCATAAAAAATTGCATCACTATACATTCTCTTTAGCCTGGGCCTGTACTCAATATTCCAACCTGCCTTCACAAGCATATCAATTATCTGATTTCTAATGACCTGCTTTTGTTCCCTAAGACCCGATTCCATCACCTCAGGCTTGCTTCTTTTCAATTTACTTTTCTTCACACGATATGGATTACTGCTGAACCTTCTATTTTGACCATCTCTAGGACCCTCATAATTAGCTTCAGCATTTGCTTGATCAGTGTCTTTCTCCTTTCTGATGTTAACCACCCCTTCCACAGCACTTGTCTGACTCGCCTTTAGATGTTTTGAACCCCTAACAGAACCATCTGCTTTTTCATAATTCATGCCCTTCTTGGGACCCCTCGATTTATTCTTTTGGCTACTTGTCAGACTGGAAATTTCATTTCTCCCTTGCATCTTCGGAGGTCGTCCACGACGGCCCTTTAACTTTGGCCTTCCCCTCTTTTTCGGGGTTGCATTATCATTTACCCTTGTCTTAAGTATTTTGTCAGAAGGATCAATCTTATTATCTATTTTTGGACTGGACACACCTGCATCCTTCACTTCAAAAACATCCTTCTCACCATCAGTAACTGCCAGTGTCTGGGACCTCAAGACCCTTTTAAACTGACCCATAGTGTTCACCTTCTGTCTTTTCACTTGATCATCATCATCAAGACACTCAGTACCCTCCACTTTCATTCTTTTCCTCCCTCTGCCTCTCCTTGCAGGCTTAATCTCGCACTGATCAGTACTGACATCAATTTCTTCATCGTCAGTGAATTCATCTTCGTGCAATTCAGTATAATCCACTTTAAGTCTTTTCCTTCCACTGCCTCTCCTGCCAGGCGTATCCTGGCCCTTAACATTGTTTTCATCAACTTGAACTTGGGTACTGGAATCAATGCCATCCTCCACCTTCATTGTTTTGCCACCTTCAAAACCTACCAAATCATCACGTCCTTCCTCAGTTTGTCCTCCTGGTGAAGAAGCAACCAACCCCTTCTTTTTCCTCCCTCTCCGTCCTTTGCCCTTCGTGGCATCACCCTTGCCATGTGGCTCACCAGCTACATTGTCCTCAATTTGACCCTCTTCGCCATTTCCAACAGCTGTTCCCTTATCACACTTTTTTTCCTCAGAAGGACTCAACCCACTTGACATCAAACCCAAACCCTTCTTCTCAAGCTCCAACTGAACTGAACCCACCACCCTCTTTGGTCTCCCTCGCCGCTTCTTAACAACAACTTCCACTACATTCTCCTCCTCAACCTCCTCCCCAACTTCACCAACACCTACCTCAACCTTATCACACTCATCAACATCAACAATGACACCTTTAATTTCATCATCATTCTCACATACCTCCTTAACAGACTCATTCAAATCAAGATCTTGCCTGGAATTCAAGTCAATCACAGTCAAATCAGTCTCCATTAGCTCAGACGGATCCCTATTCAAATCCAACCCATGTTTCTCTACACTACCACTTATCAACCCCTCATCCATTCTTGATCCCCTTTTCTCTATCAACCAAAAAAGACTAGATTTTTACACAAACCCCATCAAAACCACAAAAACCCCTAAAACAGTACACCCAATTGATTCAAACAAAAAAAAAAAAAAAAAAATTCAGCTCACCAAGAAATCTTAAGGACCATGAAATCGGTGAAGCAGAGACATCATAGAGAAGATTTTGAGCTTCAATTAAAAGGCGTTACGATTTGGGGTTTTAGTGAGAGAAAGGAATTTGTGGGTTTTAGTAGAAATTGGCAGCTACTGTTTGAGAGGAGAAAGGTGGGTTTTCTTGTATTTTAGTACAAAGTTTTGAGACCATTTTTTTTCTTTTTTACGTTTTCGAGGTAAGAAGCTAGGAGGACTAATTGTAATTTGGGAGGGAGAATCAATTATTTATTTTTTTCATTTTCCCTCCATTTGTTGCCTCTTTTCCTAAAATAAATATTTAGTCAAAAATATTTATTGCTCCACCTAATATGAACAGCCTTTGGATAATATTTTGATTAATAGTAATGTTGAATAAAAATTGAAGTATGGTTGAATACTTGAATTAATGGTCAAAAACACATTAAAGAAGTAAATTAGTAATTTTAAAATAGATTTTCACTTTTATTCATTACTTTTTCCTATTTTATCATCAACGTTAATCACTTATTCTCCAAATTATTTTTTAAGATCTTAAATTAATGTGCTCGCAATTTGGATGAAAATTGATTCAAATTGAACCAATCGTTTAAGTAAATCAATTTTTATTTGGCTTATTTTTTATTTTAAGTAAGCTACCTAAAACTGTATATTAATTAATATGGGTTTTATGATTACTTTTTCGAAAACTCATATTAGTCATTGTATCTTCAACTCACAATATTAACATTTCAATGTGAATTATTATACGATAACTTAAATGGCAAGCAAAGTCTTGTTGAAACATGAAAGTTAACTTAAAGATGTTAGAAGGATTTTTATTTCTCGTAAATCATAATTAATCGAGTAGATTTAAATGAATATTGAATGTTGAAAATGATAATTAAAGGAAAAAAGTATGGATCTCTGTTTATTTCAGGATGAAAAGTGTAACACGTATTTTATTTCCTAAAATTCATTTGTTGAATGGCCATGGAGTTAAGGATGTTAACCTCTTTTAGTATATTAAGAATGATCTTACATGACTTCATTATAAACTAGTTTTGTGACAATTTTATATTTAATCACTCGAATTAATTATTTACTATTATTGACTTAACCTTGATTTTATGTTATATTCGTCATTAGTCATTATGAACGGTCGTAATCTAATATTCATTGTGTGCTAAAAGAAGAGGGAAATTTTTTGAATGTGTTTAATACTTGTTTAATATATTAAAATGAAAATGTGGGGCAAGAAATTTTGACTTTGGGATTGTTGTTATTTATATAATACTACTATATTATATTATATAATATTTTCTATTCTACTATTTTTTTTATATTATAAAAGAGAGTTTAGGCCCAAATATAATATATAAATATTCAAGATTGGGACTTTTCTCAATCTTGAATATTATATATTATACTTGTGGGACTTTTAAAAGGAAGTTTCTTGAATATTATATATTATATTTATTATATAGTAGAACTTGGGCATAAACTCCTTTTGAATAATATAGAATATATATATAATCACAAATGACTTAAAAATCTTTAAAATATTTAAAATAACACATATCATTTTAATATTACCAAAAAAGTATTATAAATAATAATAATTAACAACTTAAAATATCT